CTTCAGGTTGGCTATTGTATACTGATTTGTCACTATAGGAAACATTTACGTAGTTTAGTTAAAATCGGCGAATTGCCGCTAAAGTTGGTAGGTTGGTAAGCCTTGACGTACAAATCAATCTCGGTATAGTTTGTCCTTTTTTAAGTGGAGAGCAGAAATAGACGAGGCCGTTAGAAAATTTGAGTAGATATATTGTAAAAAGTTGTTATTATAAATATCCGAGCACATTCATTGTAAAATATCCAACATATCCAATATATCCATAGGTATTATAAGTAGTGTCTGAAAAACCTCAAAAAATATTAAGTTTATCTGCAATACAATCGAAATATTATCAAATACTTGCTAATTATAACTTCCCTTACTCTAAAAAAACAGAGCAGATGTTGTGTGCAATCCTCATTCAAATGACTAATTCAGTAACATCCACCCAAGCCGGACAATGCTTATATAAGGTAGGTCTTCCACTCCAGCTAAGCCATACATTACCAGGCTCAATATGGATTACACATGTAAGGGATTTGAACCTGTACATGTAGGAAAACCTGAACACTATACTCGTCAGACCAACGACCTAGCCAACTGAGCTAACATGACACAGTCGACCGAACTTTACTAGAGGGATAGTGGGGTTCTTACTGCTTCATATAGTCATACTGCTAATATGACTATCTTACGGCGTATTGCGGTGACGAGCTAGACTTTAAGTCGTCATCAATGGTTTTGTATAGCGGAAATTTTGGTAAAATAATTTATATACATGAGGTTTGGTAGAATACATTTACCAGTCTGTCTATTACTATGTTTTCTATTTATTAGTTTACTTTCACAACACATTCTGACATTAACTACAAATAGATTTTTTCAATTCCGACTAATGATTTGCCATTCCATGTGTCGTTTGATCTTTGAGGTAATCATTTGCCAACACCCATAGTGCTACTAGACTTATCAGTTGCGAAAATACCTCCCAAGTACTACATTATTGACATATTTACATAAAGACATTGACAATTTTCAAAAAAACCGTTGTTCAATTGAAGAACTAACGAAACATGTAACACATTAGGTTGATGGTGTTGAGAGCTTGTCGTTTTTTCAACGGTGAGTAATGATTCTCTGCTACTCCCCAATGTGCTGAACAATAAGTGAAATATTACATATTTTTGCCTCTCTTTCGCTTTTAGTTCGAAGTCTTATATCAAATCATGATATAGGCTTTTTCGCTGACTTCGTACTTTGTTTTGTTTATTCAATTACAACAAGTTAAAAGCCTCTGACAGTACATTCAATTTTATTTGATTCCTTAAGATCGGTATTTATAGGTTAACGATCCTAAAATACACAATGGCAACATGGGTCTTCGGGAAGTAAAAGCCGTCATAGCATATTGCTATGTGCCTCATTTGGCAAGGAACATAATTTATCGTAGACCAATTAAGAATTGAATTAACAAGAAAAGGCTTTCCGGTAAATTTGAACTTGTATTTCAGGATTAGTTAAGCTTTGAATTGTTCATTTATTGACTTTTAAAGGTTTACAAAATGTATGAACTCTAATATTTGGTTAGAGTAAAAATTAGGGCTTTGACGGTTTTGGTAGTTAATATGGATGGATGAAAGATTATAAGCAACAAAAAATGTGTTGTTTTAAAAAGTTTGCAAAATTTTTTTTTCTATTGACAGTCTCCGGAAAAAGAACTACATTAAAATGTTACCAACTCTGAGCACTTACAGCCAAACTCCTTATGGTCCAAGTTTTTTACGTCCACTCACTTTACTCAGGCCATAAAAAGTATCCGTTTACTCATTCCTTTTATTTTTCCCAACATAAGTCTAGGCCTCCCATTTAGAAATTTAAAAAGTTAAATTTAACATAGCCGGCAGTTGTAATTATTGTTAATTAATCAATATTTAAATTTAACTCTAATTAATCATAACATAATACAACTCACCCCCACGCACGGGTTATCCCATGTGAGATAATTATTTTTTTTTTAGCTATACTTATCTTAAAACTAACCTCTATTTTGTATTTTGTAAACATTGTATGTTTTCTACGAAAAAAAATGGGTTTGGTTTGAATTTAAAATCTACGAAAAATTGTTCTATGTGTTAGTAAAGTTATAAGAAGAGATATAGTTTAATTAATTTTGAATTTCTACCACATCAAGTTCATTCTTACATGACATAACGTAAGACCAAGTCGTCAGCTGTTAGCTGATGAGAATATAACGACATTGTCTACATCCCTGTATGTGATAGCTTTAGTGTGTAATTTAATGCACAAACGAGACATCTTCATCTAACACGGTTACTTTTCAATTATTAGATTGTATTTTAAAACTATCAATGTAGATTTAGATGTAGATGTAGATGCTCATATAAGGTGTTGGACATTCTAGTTACATATTATAAGCAAGTTAATAAAAGGTGGTTCAAAAATTGGGTTTTGAACGACCTGAACATTTATCTCTAATCTTTATGTCTATTATATACACATATAGTCTGAAACTGTAAAAATAAATATACTTTGAGAACTGTTAACAAAAACGGAATGGGGGATTAAAATATAACACTATTGATTGATATATTTTCCCTAATTACAAAATACGGAACTTACTTTTTATCTCATCTCATGCAATTTAATAGTTTTTTTTGTGTGTGCGTAGAAATAAAAATGAATAATAAATTATTACCAGTTTAGTTTTAAACCTTAGCTAAAACCTAAAATTGATGTATTACATTTTACGCTTAATGAAGCGTAAAAATTAAGTTATAACTTAAAACCCAATAGTTTAGTTAAAAATTACATGAATGTTGAACATTTACTCGGAAGTAACTTCGTAATTACGTTTTTGTTGATCAGTAATCATGACTTCGACCAACATCCAAGCAACCTTCATAAATATTACCAGAATCTTCATTTGTAGCTTAAGAGACCGGTAACATCCGGCTGGTAGAAGAAATATTTTTAAAACATTTCGTAAACAGTGCATCGACATTTAATATAAAAGAACGTTCTTGATTTGTAATAGATATAGATTTGTAATACATTTGTTGATCTACGACTATTATACAGGTTTAGATCGTCATACCGGTTATATTTTAATGCAAGTTATATTGTTATACTGATTACATTTTTATACTAGTTTATGGCGATTTAAAATTTATCAAACAAGCTTCAAACTACATTTTCTAAATATCAATAACATTTCTTGAAAATGTTTGGGTATGATTTTCAAAGTATTTAGAATGATTTTTAATTTTCCCGTTTAATTTTTTGAAATAATAAAATCTTAAACTTTGTGTTATAATAATGGCTTAACATAATTCTTGGAATCATTCCTGGTTCCTGGTTTGGAAATAATAAGGGCCACAGTTTAGTACGATTGTCCAGAGACCCTCCATGCCTCAACATGGGTTGGGTTTATGTCTAAGTGTATCGAAACTGCAATGTTGTATATAAATTCTATCTTGGGGGTTTATATCTCAAAATTAATCCTTAGGAGTGTTTTAAATATTTTATTGTAAATTTGATTATGTGACAAAACCAAGGATTGAATTTCACCTCTTTCAATTTTTTTAACCAAGGCTACAATTAATTTTAATCGAGTTAATACAAACAGAACAACATAGGGAATAAATAACTACAAACAGTTATGTGCTTTTATAGAAAAAATTGGAAATAGACAATACAACTTAATTTACAAAAATATAATTTATTAAACATTTCTCTTTGTAAGAAAAAAATAAAAGTTGTATTAATTTGTAAAAACACGTGTACACTTTAACTGTTGTAAAACTCGTACGGTGAGATTGTCAAGGAAAATAGTCCAAAAAATTAAAAAAAAATATTTATGGTTATGGTTTTATTAGTTTATAATGTTGTTATCAAGTACACAATATAACACGTTGTAATTTTAAACCCAAGGATTGGATTTAACCTCTTTAAATTTTTCAAACCAAGGCTACTATTTTAATTGAGTTAATATAAACAAAATAGAACAAAATAGAGAATAAATAACTACAAACAGTTATGTGCTTTTATAGAAAAAACTGGAAATAGACAACAAAACTTCATTAAAAAAATATGGTTTATTAAATATTTCTGTTTGTTAGAAAAAAATAAAAGTTGTATAAATTTGTAAAAACACGTGTGCACTTTAACTGTTGTAAAACTCGTACGGTGAAACTGTCGAAGAAAATAGTCCCGATAGTAAAAAAATTACGGTTGTGATTTTATTAGTTTATAATTTTGTTTTAAAGTATGTTTATATCTAATGCAATTGCATTAAATGTGAAATCATTTCGGTGATATAATATGAATTTATTACTATGTTGGCTAAGTAATATTATTAAAGCTGACTATCAGTGAAAAAAACTACCTATTTACAATAATCTTAATTTGATCCAAGACTTACATTAACAGTATAAAGAGAAATATACCTGCCTTAATAAGGTTACAGCTCTTTAAATAAACAACCTATTTACAACATATTTCCATAAACTATTTCATCTTTTGCCTACAATCTGACTGGTTAAACATTCAACTGCAGGATCAGCTGTTAAATTACAATTCACATTCGAACTTTTGTAAAGACAATCGGACAAAATAGCTGAGACTTTAAATATAAAACGCACTCTAGGAGGACGAAGCCCTGAAGGAAATTACGTGTAACAATTCATCACTCCGCAGCATCATAAGATTTCAAAATATACCTCAATCGTAAGATCCGGTTATTAAGGCGGCTGAAAAAGGGACAGAGAAATCCTGTATTGTATTAAGTTATATAAGTGTATAACGAGTACATGTGTGACGCCAGGTGCGACGTGTGAGTCGTTAACGACGTAGCTGATCACGTAATAACGACCTACGATTACGTGAACTGCTCTCTCGGGAGGTGAGTGTAAAGTTGTGTGAAGGGTGGAGGGTAAATTAAAATTTTAAAAATCAACACAAAACTAATTAACTTATGGTATATGTGTAATACTCTGATGTCACACTTTTTCACTCGACTAGACGACTTGTCAATAATTTATGTAAGAACCTGTAATGTTTTGTTATAAAATTATGAATCGTGTGAATAACAGACAATAAAGGTGGAGTATTCATTTTGATCTATATTTATAACCAGCTACAGTAACCGTTGTATCATGACTCACAAATAAAGCACACTATTACAGCAAGTATAATGTAAATAGTAAACTTAAACAAATCGTAATCAGTTGGAGTTTTAACGAGACTAGGATGATTATTCTAAACCGACTTCTTAATTCAAAAGTATTTTCTTTAAGCATAAGGTTAACAGAAACTTACAACAACAGGCTCACATGGGGTAGAATCAAACCCAATTTCTTGTAAATGACAGGAACACAGAAATGACAGTTCTTTCTACTAAATATATACAATACTTAACATGTATAAGAAGGATTTTAAATAAAGATATTTGTTTGTATTGACTAAAAAGCTGTCAACAAATTAATATTATGTACTATTATGTTGTGTATCATGCATGCAGCCAACTAATACATCCTTATCTTAAAATATCAGTTAGGAGTTGCAAAAAGCACACCTCGAAGCAATATCTTTCTTAGTATATATTTTTTTATTTATTCTTAGTATATTTTTCCATCTGGAAACAAACTCTGGAGATCTTTCTATTTCCTTAACAATCATTTGAAATTCGTCCATAGATATGTATCCAAGACTATGTATGCTGAATCCTGCCATCACTGCTATTTCAGGAATCTTATCCTCGAATTCTTTGGCTGTGAACGTTTGCCCTGTCTTGAGCAAATCTTGTAGAACCTCTAACATCTTTTCTTGCAATTGGGATTTCAACATCAATAGACCAGACTGTAAATTCATTATAAAAACTAGTGATTAGGTATATTTTTATTAAATAAATTTCATAATAAATAACTCATTGATCAGCATTGTACGTGTTTACGGAAAGTACGGAAAGTAAATAAAAGAAACGTCTTATAACACTTAAAACATATATTTACGCGTATGCTGTTCCTCACAAGACGGTAAATATGCAAAAAAGATGTTAAGTGGTGATCTATTTCGATTGGACACTCCAATCATCATCAGACCTAATAGACGAATGATACATTCGCCTATGTTTCCCTATGTACCCCCTGATTAACGTGAGCCTTATTAATAATTGCAACTAAAAATTAATAAAAACTAATATAAGTTTAATTTATTTAACAATTTTGAGTTGTTAGTTTTTAGTAGTTAGATGGATTAAATTATTGTAAATACATAGAATTAAGTGTACGAATGGAAACGCTTATTGTTAGATGCTTATGTAGTTATGTTTTTAGTTGGATGAATATTTATTTTTTATTTTTGCGTTATTACTATGCAGTTCTGAAGTTATATGTTTAGTAATCAATGTGTACATATTAAACAGAGAAACGAATGCATGCAGTCAAATCCATGTGTTTAGCCCCTGAGCTGCAACGTTACTAAAAATAGGCTTTACCTTTGTCAATCCAGCTCAAAAGGTGCAACTGCGTTGGTAACGGCCGTTTCGGCATCACAATGCCATCGTCAGACACAAAATCTCTGCGTCGTTGAAGTCAAAACACATAACACACACAAACAAAATAATAATAATATTAGTATAAAATAAAATATTATTATAAATTAAAATAATAATTTATATAATAATAATAATAATATTTACAAAAACGAAAAGGCCTGTCGTAAAAACTGTACCGGCTGACATTTTGGTGTTCCGAGCAAGACGCCAACTACTGTTACAGTCGTGATTTCGTTTCCGACGATGGCATTGTAATGCCGCAAAGGCCATAACCAACGCAGTTGCACCATTTGAGCAGGATTGATGAAGGTAAAACATATTTTAAGAATCCATACAAGTTTGTATTGGTTGTAGGCTACACGTTAAATTCCTAACTCATTGCATCCTTTATTCTTATACTTCTTATGCTTACGTCGTATATTTTTTGGTGAGACAGTGATGATATGATCACCAGAATAGTTATAACAGCTACAACTTTCATTGTGACTACCAACTTGCAACTCCTGAAACATGAAACATTCTTATTAATTAGAGCTTTCTAAAAACTTGTCAAATATAGGAACATTTAATAAAGGATTTTTTATTGATGTAAGAAAACTAAAACTAATTTTATGTATATGTCATCTACTAGCTGTGTACGAGTAATCTACTCGTCAGCCTTGCCAGACATACTTTTGAGTTTTATTATGAACCGGCTGAAGTGGTGACTTAACTACGGACTAACATGTACCTTTTAAATTATTTTTCCGAATAGTTACAGTTATTGAGGGCTTAATCCATTCTTACAGCCTAATCACCTAAGCTATGTTATTCATTGTGACACCTAAGCTAATTAGACAAATGGGACGATTGAAGTCAAACTAAGGGAGAACTTCTTCATTTAAAAAAATAACTGCCTTCGTACCAAGAGCTTTGAACTGCTCTCTCTGGAACAAAATCATAATATTTATCTTAAAGTAAGTAACATAAAAATCTTAATTCTGTGACATAATGTTCTTTGATATATTTAAAAGAAATTCCTTTTAGGTGTTACAAAGATAAATAGATAGAAAAGTTGGTTTTGACCGGAGCAAACCAAATGATAACTCAATAAACCATCTAAAATATTTAGTTAAACCGTATATAAAGCAAACTCCCTTAGTAGATTTCTCATCCTTGTGGAACAGCTTAATCTAATTTCGTTGTCAGTTCGGTCCGGTTCACTGCAGAGGTCGTGTTTTTAAAATTAGTTTTTTTGTATTTCCAGCCATTTACAACCTCGTATAACCAAATAAAACTCACCCCCTAGTTATATAACCAAACAGTAAAGCACAAGTCATAAAATTAACCTTAAAATAAAAGAAACAAAATTTCGTCTACACTAGCAATCAGTGTCACTCGACATGAAAAACGAGCTTCAAAATTTACAATGATATGAGGAGAAGTCTACTTGAGTTGGTTAGTCCATGTTTAAACCAAGTGGTTGACAGAATTGCTGCATCGGTTACACTGTACATTATTTCCTGTAGTTAAAACAAACTGATCTTTTCTAGTTTGTTGTCTCCCACAGTTGAATTTTTTTTGTAAAATTTAAGTTGTAAAAAAAATTTTGATCTTAAATACAAAAATAAACTGTAATTTGAATGAGACAGAATTATGCCAACATGATAAGACTTGTCTGAATATTTGAAATACTTAATGTTTTAGTTGCGTGAGCTATAATAATAATTATTTATCAAATAAATCCAAGGAAACAGCTAAGATACATAACCATTTAAAACTAATCCTACCTGAACCAATTCTTTTGTAGCCGCAGAACGAGTATGACTACGTCAGTTTCAATTTATCTTAATTGCTATCTGAAAGTGGCGTAACTAATTTATGTAGTGTGAAAATCCCATGACTTGTGGTTATTAACGCTAATTTAAGACGATACGGTAACGGTACTGCTTAACCTTGAACATTATCAGATCATTGCTTGTTGCAAGCACGAAAATAATGTAAAGGTTATTTGCCTAGGCAACTTAATATTTGTTATACATATAATTTTTATTTCAATATACGCTAATGATAATATACAAACATAATAAGACAAAATTCCTTTGCACTGAAATTGGTTATTCCATCCTATTGAATTTACCAGTTTTTACTCTTCTATTAATTATTAAGAGATTAACTAACATGTTTAATGTTATATAGTAATGCTTTTCGAATAAAAGGCTCAGTTCATAATACATACAACACTTTTCTACTTCCAAATCTGTGACACTATATTTATCAAAGTCAAAGTCAAAGTCAAAACATTCTTTATTCATTATAGTTTCACATTACATGAACTTGAATAGAGTCATAAGCTAAATTCAAAATTGCTTACTGCTAATTAAATACATAAAAAGAGTACTAAAATTACTTTACTTGAACTTTTAACAAAACCATGACTTTAAGGATAACAGTATTTGGAATTCAAATTAAGTTAGGCCTAACTGTTTTTTACTAATACTAAAGAATTCTGTTACTGAGTAGCAGGGAGTTCTTAAAAAATATTCCTTTAAGAGCTGCTTGAATTTATTAAATTTTGTTTCTTTTCGGATGTGAGCTGGTATAGACTGGAGAAATTTTAGCCCTATGTAAGATGTCTTTTTAGTGTAAAATTCGAGATTATGCCGAGGTAGGTTAATTTTTAATCTGGTGTTATATACTAATTGTTCTGTTGAGCTGGATGATAGTTGGATCTGTTTTGCATAAAATATTGTTTCATAAATATAAAGACTATAAACTGTTAATATTTGTAATTCACGAAAGATGCTCTTGACTGGCTCTTTCTTTTTAAGATTTTTCATCATCCTGATAGCTTTTTTCTGCTTAATTAGTACTTTATCTAAATTAGTTTTTGTTGTTGCCCCGTATAGAACAATTCCATATGAAATATGTGAATGTATTAATGAGAAATAAACAACTCTTAAAGTGTCTAAACTGCATACTCTGAACATCTGTCGCAGCGCATGGATACCGGAAGATACCTTTTTAACCACATAGTTCACATGGCCCTCCCAAGATAGATGTTTATCGATAATTAGACCAAGAAATTTTGTTTGCTTTACTTGGTTTATTCTTTCTGATTTTATGCAAATGTTTGGTTCAAAATTTTGTCTACGTTGTTTAGTGGAAAATGATATAAAATTGGATTTTTCTGTGTTAATAAGCAGATTTTTTCGGTCAAGGAATTCTTTAGTGGATAAAAGACTCTCCTGAGAAAACGTTTCAATCTGTTGTTTTGATCTTCCGGGAATAAGCACATTACAATCATCAGCAAACAGACACATAGACCCGCCGTTACCAGGAATCGCTCCCGGCATACCTCTAATACAAAATATACCTCTTTACCTCTTTATATTAAATACCTCTTTATATTAAATATATGCTATATTTGATACCTTTTGACAATCTTCCGTCATTTTATCTGGTTAAACAAACATTATTCGCTAGCTGCAAAGGCATTTAAAGAAGAATTGTCTTGTTGCAGAGTTTTTGGGAGAATTTGTTCATGCCTTAAATCTATCAAACGTAGTTTAGTCAAAATAATTGGCGTAGGAAAAGAACATGTTTCCTGAAATGGAAAATAAAAGTAAATCATGTGATATTTTGCAAGGTAGCTATATTGCAGTCGTTAAAACATTAAAACGTGTACAATAAAAATACATTTAAATGTATATAAATAAAGATATTCGTACAAATTTTCACGTGTAAACAATATTCATAAGATTACCCATTGCAAAATAATTAATTGTTAATTTTGCATTCACCCCCCTGTAGACTAAAAATACTTTTAATAAATACTGAACTCGTAAGGCTGTTAATCAAGTCCCTTTCTAAATGTTTAGCCAGACAATATTGAAATTATAGAGTCAATAATATTCCATATTTTATTACGTTGCAGGTCTATTTTCGGCAGATTATTGTAAAACTGTTAGCGTTTAGTGGAGTCTATATTTGAACCACGATAAAATACATTTTTCACTGATTACAATACATAGCTTTGTCATCATTGACGTACAATATAAATTAACATTTTCAAGGTATAGCCTCTGGATCACTGATTTTTACAACAAAAGTATATTACCTGTATCCGTCAAGTGATCCTCGATTGTAGTTGTTTGCCTACAGCTGTTTCGTGTTTATAAACACATCTTTAAGTCAATGTTGCATTGATGTATCCCATCCATGGAATGGTCGTCATGAGGTTGAAAGTTGTCAAATAACGCACGTACTTGAAACATTAAACATTAAATTAGCCAAAACACAAATACATAAAAAAACTACATCGGAAACGTGCGGTGCCGGTAGAAGGTAAGTCATGACTGCCGTGTGCTGGAAGGGGGTTATAACTTCTTCTTTTATATTTTTTTATAATTAATGGATATAACATTTATTTAATTATTTACAAATTCAAAAACAACAACTGAAATTTAACCCCTTAATGAGCTAAACATTATGTTATCACTTTAGTATACTTTGTATGTGATGATAAATAAAATGTTATTTAATTTTTAATATACATTCTCATGACGGTAGCAAATTTAATTGTTAAGTTTATAGGACTTGTAAGTGTATGTAACAGCTGATTGTGTTGCTCGAATTAGAAACTCGTATTATTCATTAAGAATACAATGCATGTTCTTAGTGTACATTTACTTTGTAGTAAAATTAATAATCATCCCTCACTTTATTTAATGTAGATTTTACAACCGGGAGGAAATTTCCAAAGACACTCACTACGGCCTCTTTACGAAGGTAACTTAAAAAACTTGGACCATAAAGAGTCTGGCAGTAAAAGTATAAATGGTTTAGGGATGTAGTTTTGAGCTCTCAACATCGGGGGCAGCAGGGATAACGTTTAAGTTGAAACCCCACCACCACCATGCTATCAGCTTAGCACCAAAGACTTGTTTTATCTTATGTTATCGGTGTAAATTTATTATATGATTAATTTATTTTATTCATCAATAAAAGCCAAATACAATCTGATGCTGCATAAAGTGCCTTTTTCATCCAAACTTAAAATAAAATGTTAATTCTGTGCCAAAATCGGTTGAAACTTTTATTTAGTTTTTCTTCGATACCATCAATGTAATCTCCTATTATTAAAGTAAACAAACAATACACAAACTAAATTTAATTGACTTCTTTTGAATCATGAAACTAATAAGTTGAGACATGCTCAAAAACATTTAAAGAAAATTAATTTGTTTTAAATCTATATTTTTATTTTTATTTACACGTAAATGAAAACACACCCCTAAGTGCTGTAAGTGTATTGCATGTTTAACATTTTAAATTTGTGGATTCAACTTTTTGACTATGAATGCAAAATCCCTGGTTTATTTATTGATTAGGTACCGGTAAAATTTTTTGTTTCTCTATTAGTTAAGGCAATAGAGATTTATTCTCACTAGCTCCTCTTTGAGATATCTAACTGACCACTGGAGCTTGTTTTAAATTAATTTGACAGTTTCAGGCCCGGCCTAAAAATACTATATTTTCTTGGATAAAGAATTGATTTGAGCTTAAAGTTAATGTACTAACTGTAACAATAAAAGAAGAATCGCTGTTGATTAGAACATAACTTAACAAAATTTACTCGCATTTAATAAGCTCGTGTTTAATAACTACAAGTAACTATTGGGTAACTATTATAACTAGGGGATTAGGGTAAAGCAAGAAACAAATAAATTGAATTAAAACTATTTTTAGTTTATTTTATATACATGTTTTGACATTTAACGATGCAATCTTTATTAAAGATGAAGTGAAAGCAGTAAACATCAGTATTTAGGGCTTGTCTGGACGTTCATGAAATATAAGAGCCTCTGAAAGCATATATTTTTATTAATCATATCAATTTGGTATAGCATCCTCATTAGATTTATCCTGGAACAAGTGAATCAAATGTATGAATTAATTGGTAAATAAAACATTTGCCAGCAGTGACTTCCAGATCATAATACTAATTAATAGTAATCTCTTTAATATTTTAAAATGTATTTTAATCGGTTTCTTCGTGTAATACTGAATATGGTGAAAATAGCGTAACAATTCGTTGTTTGCCTGTACAAACTACCACTATTCATTGTCAAATTATTTGAAAGACAAAATATAATAACTCTATTTGAAAATACAACAAGTACATTTTTACGAAGTTTATAGTAACTAACCTTCAAGGGTAAGTTTTCCGTCTTTGTTTACGTCAGATAACTAAAATATTCTTGCATCCAAGTCTTCGTCGGCGTCCGCCTTGTTCTTTGTATTGTAGAGGAAAGATACATACTCCTCCTTTGTGACAACACCGTCTTTGTTTGCATCAGCTGCCCTGGTAAAATAAAATGCAACCCCATCAAAAACTTTATGAAAACAATCAATATGGTTTTACACAAATGTATGCATTATTATGGCATTTCTTTCTCTGAAAAGTGCCGTTAAGGCAGTCTGTTCAAAAGAAAAATACGTTAAATTGAACCTAATTCAGCTTTCATGATAGGATAGCCCTAAATGTTACCCATTAAGATGTATATGTTATTCGTAACTCATTAAAATTTGTTGGTAATAAGTTAATTGTTAACTATTATTTTTCCTTTCCTACCCAATAATAAACTTTCTTTTGCTATTGTCTTGCATGTGTTGAAATACACAGAATTATTTTACATTATGTTGTGCGTAGAAAACTTGTATGACTGGATTGGATAGTAGAATTTCTCAACTGTTTTTAAAGCAATTGTTTACATAACATGCAATCAAAAGTTTTTGGCTAAGAAGGATATGCGTATTTTAATTATTATCATCTAGTGACTTACTGAAAGCT